AAGTCTAAAGACGACCACATATCATCCATATCGGTCGAACAACGATCCAATATTACTCTGGAAGTGTGAGACGTCGAGCGTGATTACTTGGAACTATCATTTATAAGGTATAATAAATTTTACACCATAAATATCGTACCTGCCACCCCGACCGTATCGTCGTCGCGCAAAACCAATACACCTTGGTACCGGTTTGCTGATACTGGTCAGTGCGAACCTATACTTCTTATCGGCCAAGCCCCCCTCGTTTTTATCACACCATGGCCAATTTCCAAAACCACCTGATACAGGCTGCAAAGAGAAAAGCTCTATATCTACAATCCTGAAAAAAAGAACTTTAAGGCTATTTCCACATTTCTCGAGGAACTCATGACGATTTTCATTGAGATCCGTGGAATAAATAAAAGTAACATATACCCCCATGTAACGACAGACAAAGTCCTGGTAAATATCAATTTCAAACCGAAATTAAAAGCTTACAACATTTCGCCGGCACATGTACATAGAAGATGAAAGTTTTTACGAAGGAGACAGCACTCACTGGTAGATAAGTGCTATTCCTATTCCGTCGGAAAGCGAATTGGCCCTCTTCAGTGGTGTCTTCGTCGTCGCGATCGGAGGGTACCGAGGGCTGAGAATGTGAATGCGATGGAAGCGGACTGTCTTCGTCTGAGCTCATTAGCGGGTCCAGCCCGCCCCCAAGAACACCAGGTCGACTTCCTCGACCGCCTCCACTACCTGTACCACCACGTACACCACTGTCGTCCAAACTTCCTCCCCTGCTGTCAGTTTTATGTTTCCGTTTCTTGTACTGTCTTTTTTCTTTTCTCGGTAGAACCTCATCCTGCTCGAAATTAAAAAAACAAAAACGTGAAATGCATTAGCGTGAAAGAAGATTACCATTTCATAATCGCAGGTATAGTACTGACTTTACTACAAACTTTATTTGCCCAATTTTGATGAACACCGAACTGATTTGTAAACAGTGGAGCAAAAGCTGGCCTAGGGGTCTTGAGTGCCGATACTTCCGCCAATATTTGCCCATTAAAGTCTTGTGCCTGATATCTGTAAACACGTTTTCAATTGTATTAGATTCAGAGGTCGTGTTTATAAGAACAAGATGGAATTAAAAGGGATTGGAAAACTTAATATCGAACCTTTTCTCGTAGACCTCGATTGTCAGATGTAGATGTTCCCGTTTAGTTTTCTCTCTTCGTTTAACCATTTCGAGAAGGGTAATTGCTCTACTGAGATCCCTACGGAGTTTCAACATTTTTTCATAACTAGTTTCGTCGTTCTTGCGGTTTTTACGTGTTTGCATTTTTTCTGTTCTACGTCTAAACGCTAGATAAGGATTATTGGCAGCTGAACCGAACCGATGTTCTGTTTTCACTGATAATAGAAGCGGATGTTGCTGTAACACATAAAAACGTTCACATTGATAACATTTTTTGTGCACTTATTGTCCAGCGCAGTTTACGTATGCTATTTAAGAAAAACATACGAAACAACATTCATAGTAAAATATATTACTTTTACATACAATGCGATTAAAAATTCTTACTGTCTTAAGACGTTTATTCAGCCAGTAATCAAAAACAGCAATAATTAAATCGTCATCCTCTTTTAAAAGCGCCTTCGCTTCATTAAGGGTGACTACAGTTTGCCCTGAACTTTTCTCCAATCGATCCATCATTTCTTCAAACTGTAGCGGAGTTAAGTCCATTTTACGGCTTTGCACTGCAACCCATTTTTCATCTTCCGAATCCATATCGTAATCCGGAATATCTTGTTCCATTGCAAATGCTTGAAAGAGAAATGTACACAATTATGAAATGTTTGCTTTATAAAACAACAATTAATATTATTCGGTACTTCATTAGTTTATTTGCTTACGTTGCATATGTATAAGCTGACGAGGTAGCTTATAATCAGCTGGATATATTTTGTCATAAGCTTCCACGTCTGTCAAGTCAGATACTTCAGGGGTAGGAATGATTAGACCAGTACATATTGCTCTTTGCAGGTGATGTTCCTATTCAGAGAATTAAAACAATGTAAAACTTAGCTTCGTATGAATTGTTTTAGAGTTTGTTTGTAGCTTTTTTTTTAATCATGAAACAGAAACACAATAAATAAAACATAATATAGTTGCGACTGAAAAGTCATAATAATAACGATAACGTTCTTTTAAAATTTATAATTGTACTATATATTTTATATTTTTATATTATACATGCTTGTTTAAAACTTAGAGTAAGAAAAAGTTTAATAATGTCCAATGTGGTTTTTATTTAATACGAGACCTTATAATAACTTGACAGTCTTTTTTATATAAACCTCTGTTGTCTACTCATGACTTAAGTTAATTATACCGATTGCAAGTGTTTCTTTGCTTGTACCATGCGATTAACAATCTAATCGTCCTAAACATATACCAAAAATGAAAAACGCATAGAAAATCATTAAATATTATTGTCATACAAATGTTACACGCCACTTCCATATTCTCGTTGCCTCATCAATGCATTGCCATTGTCAGCAGTTGATTTCAACAAAGAAACATCAAACAATCATTGTTTACACAAGACCAAGTACTCGAACAGAACAATTACCTTACAAACAAAGTACCATGAACAACAATACACCAGAAAAAGTACACGAATCTTCAATGAATAGAAAAGTTCATAAAATTTCATGTGCACTGAACAGCAACGTTGGAACATCATTTTTCATCGGACAATTTCTTTGAAACAAGAGGCTGACAGCTGTCAATAACCCGTCACATTAGTGTATTAATGTTCGAGTAACAAGAATCACCGTTAAAAAACGCCCAGCAATTACGTTTAACGTTGAAAAATAATGAATTATTGTACATAATAATGGCAAGAAAGCTGCCATCTGCCGGTTGTTTACGAAGATGCGCCCGAGGGTAAGATGGCGGACGGGGAAAACATGCTGGAAGAAGGCTGAACAGTTCGACTTACACATTCCTCCTCCTTTTCCATGCCGCTGGGCATTTGGGGCACAGCACGGTTAATAGCCGAGTAATCTGGCAGATCCGGCAGTTCCTCGGCCATGTAAATCGGCATGGGCTTGGAAGCGTCCAGGGCGCGGGCCCTGAACGACAGCTTGCTCATCCTGAGGCGGCTGGCTCGCGTGTTGACAACCGAGCTGGCTGGTGTCGAACCGTGAGGCCAGTCGGGTCGGCTCGGGCCTCGGGCTTGCGGAACGTGAACCTGACTGGGCCTGGCTGGGGGCCCTGCGCCCGTAATACCCGGCACAGAGAGCGGTCAGGGCCTCATCGTTCTACGGCCATCGCGCTGGAACACGGTCACTCAGTCACCAAACGAGATATATCACTTTGAAAACATGTTTGCGTGACACGGTCCCTGCTCAAAGCCATCATGGCCGACGCACAGCCATTTAACACGTTCAGCTCGAGCAGTTCCGCGATGCGACGTGCGCCGCGCGGGAATCGGCCCGCTGCCGCCACTGACCGACACGCGACCGCCTATTGGACGCGGGGTCTTTCACCTAATCGCAAGCCTCGTTCACACTATCCTATCGAATTTTTGGTACAATTTACTTGCAGATTTTTTGTATTCGCGGTATACACTGGATACAGAAGTAATTCTTCGGTTATCATAATTTCTGCTATAACACAGTTTTGAAAAAAATCTATACGAAGCCGATAAGCGTGGTTACGTTAAACGGTATACTCGATCGGTATTTGTTTTTAGAGCCTCCTGAGAACTTTTATTGTTTTCTATTTTGCAGAATCTAGTTAGAAATCTGTAAGATTGTTTTTCTTTTTTAAAGGGGAACGTTTGAATGCTTCTTTTACCTATTGTATGTACAAAATTCCGATAAAGTGAAAATACGATGAATATTCATTAGGTTCTTAACCTGATAAAATCCATTATAGATTTGTGTTTCATTCCCGATTTTCTAAGTTAATCTATTGGAATGAGAATTTCCGCGGAATATTTCGAAATTTGGTCTCAGCAGGCTTGAGTATTTTCAAAATTGCAGTTTTCAAGATGCGATAGTTTACGTCGATTAATGCAAGATGGCGTCGAGAATTACAAAGCTTCCGGTATCTTATTGCCGGTTATTGTGTATAAATGTACACATCGTGTAAGTTAAAAAGGAATTTTAACAAATAATTAATGTATGAGCAATTAGCGTTTTGTAATCAAAAAGTATGCTGACTCTTCCTTGACATTTATTTGATGTTTGCTCTGAATGGAAATATTAGTGCAAAAAACGTAATGGCGATGATTGACATTTATCCCCGTTTGATCTATCGTTTCTTAAGAATCATACGATTAAAAAGAGATCAACTGTTGTTGAAACAAAGTTGAAACTTGTCATCATCGCTAAATGCACACTTGATTTGTACCTTAAGGCACTTGTACTTTTGCGCACGCGTCGCGGTCATGCAGAGACTTTGAATTTTCAATTCGCTTATATGAATAAAATCCTTGATTAAACGAATCTAGTTAAACATTACTTCGTTTATTATCGTCATTTACAATTGTAGAATAAAAAATTAAGTAAACCGATTTCAAAGCAAGTAAGAAATACTCAAGCAGGAATCGAATTTGATAATACAAGTTGCACTGATTAAGTTCTTGCGATAACGTTTTTATACGTTAAAATAAAAACAATATCCTTGAAATGAAACTAATAACAAAAACGTACAGTTAAACTGTTACTAAATGAACAACTGTAAAAGAAATAATGATGATAATTCAAATAACCAAGTATGAACTATAATGTATTAAAAAAAACGTTTGAATCCTTATGTTCAACTAAAAACTTAGGTTAGACGTATCCGTGGAATGCATCGAGACAAACATTGTATAATTTGGGGTTATTATTGTTATTAATCTTTAAACGTTCCAAATAAGTGAGAACAACTAAAGAATTGTTTGATATCGATGTTGATTGTGATAATCTATTGTGAAGGCTAGATCATATTCCCGCGTGTCGACATGGCACATACTATTGCAATTCTATCTGTGATACCTAGGTTATCTTACCATCTGCGTATGCAACTTCCGAATTTAACGATATTTGACGTTGCGCCAGGTATTATTTCTGACATGCACTTTCTCTCGTGCCCGTGGAACGCGAATTCCATCGGCCCACGGGAGCTTTCGCATCGAGAGCACGTGTTGAAACGCACTAACACTACGATCCGCTATACTCTGAATTTGCGCGTTTCATGATATAGCTTGGCGGAAAATCCAACTCGTTTAAATATTTAGCGCGCACACCTGTCTCTGACGATTTGTACTGAACTTCTACATGCGATTTCAGTTTTGCATGGTCAATAAACATTCGATTTACGCGATAAACAAATTCGGTTTATCTCACGACTTAATTTTTAAATTTCGACAACGTGAACCGTTGTTTCTTTTCCTGGACATTGCAGTTTTGCTGTAGTTACTATGCTTGTTTTCCAGACAAAAACGATACATTGTCGAAATTAAATGACGCAGATATATTGGTAACTGATTGCGATTTGTTTGTACCATATCTGGATAAGTTACAATCCCTGAAATGGGTTCAAACTACATGGGCTGGCGTCGAAGCATTAACCCCGCGTTTGAAAGATACGAAAATTAATTATGTTGTTACACGTTTTTCTGATGGAGCTTTCGGTCTGGCGATGGCCGAATACGTGGTAGCACATATTTTTAATTTTGAACGTAATCAGAAGCAGCAGTACGAGAATCAGAGAAACAGGCAATGGAGAAAAGATGGGAAAATTTCTGACCATAGACTGATCTGTGATCTATCAGTAGGTGTTTTAGGCTTGGGGAATATTGGAAAATCAAGTAACTAAAAAGTTTGTATTCTTCTTACCTTGTTACTGATAATAATATTAACTTGATTTTGTTTCTAGTTGCTCAACAATTGAAGGCTTTTGGGGCTAATGTGTGGGGCATTACAAGGGGGCAGCTTAAAGAAAAGTTAGATTATTTAGATCAGCACAGAACAATTGAATTTTTACCTGAAATGCTAAAACAATGCGACTACATTGTCAATGTTCTGCCATCCACACCCAATACCTTGGGTTTGTTAAATGGAGATATGTTACAAAATTGTAAAGATAGAGGCAGTGTTTTTATCAACATAGGTCGAGGTTCAGTCATTAAGGAAGCTGATTTATTGAATGCTCTTCAGCAAAAGTGGATCTCCGGAGCAATACTGGACGTTTTTGAAAAAGAACCACTGCCAAAAGACAGTAAATTGTGGACACTGCCGCAGGTAAGTATTATAAGCCTTATGGAGAGTAAAATCTAGTATTAATATAACTTAAATAAATTTAATTAATGTTGTCAAGCAGGTCACTATCTCCCCACATATTTCGGGTGTGACTCGTTCTCAGGATGTTGCACGATTTTTTGCCGAAAATTACCAGAAATTCGCTAAAGGTGAAAATTTGTTAAATGTAATAAATTTAAAGGAAGGTTACTGATTATATTAACAAATGAAATATGTATGAATTAAATAAAAAAAATAAGATACTTCTCATAATTTATAACGCTTAACAAATATTAATGTGAAAATAGTTGTTGTAATAATTTATTATATATATATTATTAGTATTATAAAGGATCCTTGTAAAATATTTACTCTGTTTCTTGACCGATTGGATTGGAACCAGGCTTCAAGCCTCGTATACTCAGGTCATAAACTACTTCCTCCACCTTTTTGACAGAATACTTTAGACCATCAAAACGTTTCCTTAGGGAATCGTTTTTCAGATTTAAAAGCCTAAAGCCTGCATTCAGTTCATTCACAAAACGTGCTATTTCAATAGGTCTGTTATAATCACCATTTGTGACACTATTCACAGCAAATCGACTCTGAAATTAATACACAAAATAAGTGATTATTAACATTATATTATAATAATACGTACCAATTCTGCAGCCAACTGTAACAAACCCATTAAGAAATCTTCCAAGTCCAAGTGAAAACCATCCTCTCTTCTATTTTTAACTGTACGTAAAATGTACATTTAATATACAGAAGTTTAAATAAATGTAGTTTTATTACAAAGGAGAAGTTGCATACTTCCTAACATCTCTGCGACAGTTTCTTTGGTAACCAAAACCTTAATCTCTAGGTAAATCACTAAGGAGGCTAGGAAACATAACTTTTGTGTCACAAAGCGCCACTGGTCATGAAATCTGTAATACTGATCCTTAGGTACAACTAATGCAAGCCTTGCATAATCTTTACGTACATCCTCAAACAATTCTCTGGCTGATGAACAATACTGAGAAACAACTGTAAACAGAAAATATAATAATTATTTTGGCACTGCGGACACAATTTACACGCCGACATACTTATGTTCTCTTCCACGTTATTTTCATTATGTATGTTCTGTAACATCATCACAATGTCCCTGGAAGTCCTCTCAAGATCTTTTACAATAGCACGGATTTCCTTTAGCAAAAGAAAATTAATTTCAGTCGATTTCACAGGGAACACCGGAATTAAATATATAATTTTTTTAATTTAAAATTCTATACAACGTGTAAACATAAACTAACACACATCGTAATTCAAGCTAAATGTAACCTAAAATATACATACATCACAGAAGTAATTGACACAATATAGTTCATATTAATCATTGGTATAAAAGAAGTAAAACAGAAAGAATAATTGTTGCAGATATAGACACTAAATTTCTTCCTTTCATACGAGTAATATTAAAATTATTTAACACCCCATACTTTGACACTTGAGGTAACAAATCATTAGTATATACCTCGCGTAATTCCTCTTCATTATTCATATAGTCTTGAAATGAATTAAATAATTCCGATATTCTCTCAGCCATATTGCTTCTTGTTTCACAGATAATTAATCGAACGATAAGGATTTATGCTTCGACACTTTGCCGAAAAAATATCACGTCTGACAAGCGTTGTGTATACATTCGATGATGAAAACAATTGTTCGCCCCTCTCCGTATTGCTCTGTATTCAACTAACATGAATTCGAATAAATTTTGCCGTTCTGGGTATAAGATATCATGCAAATGCCGGCACGAATTATATGCGTCGCAGATCAATTCCTTTAACTAATGGCGCCATCTGTGTCAAAACGTTGAATCTGTTAGGCAAATCATATTGACAGGTAAGTACACGCTAAGAGATCGTGGCGCCACTCGTGGCAAAACACCTAAGCTACTAGCCAATTAGTACACGGGCTGTGGCACTGGATGGCGCCACTATTTATTTTTTCGACGTTTGAGCGGCGCGAATGTTGCCACTGTTAACATAGAATCTTATGGAGAATGCGGCAAACTTTATTCGAATATGTTTCGATTGAGCTTACAGCTTTGTAAGGACAATTTTTTCTTTGTTAAGTTTCAAATGCGTAGTTTAAGGAACATAGATTGAGTCTCTTTAATTGTTAAAAGGATCGAATCACAAGAACATTGCTAAAATTACAATTGTTTGTAGTGGTTGTCATTGGGTCCATTCGATAGGACCTGGTTTAATACTTTTTGGTTTGATATTTTTATTCCCATCAAATCATATAGATACACGTAATATGAATGGAATATATAACACTTCATCTGTGCTAATAATACTCAGAATTCATGCTTTATCGATAACGTCGGGTATTGACACTAAAATGCTAACAGGGTTACGTGCCCTATGAACGTAGGACAGAAAAAAGCATTGGATGATGGGTCTATTCTATACCTAGTCGGTGGTTCAACGGACGATCAGTTATAGTTCGAAGCAGTTCGAAGTGTTTCCTTTATTGGCACCGGATAAGTTGAGTGTATTGGGTGTATTGGCATTTGAAGAGTCCCTTAATTATGAAGGTAAGTCTCAGTACATAAATATATTACAGAGGAATCCGGTTGTTTGGGACACATCGGGACTAGCATCCTTTGGCCCGATTAAGCTGCTATCCCAATCATGCGAAGTATCACACAGATAAACACAGTACATTCGATTGGGTTTTGTTCTTCGAAATTTGTCCCAAATAAACGGTCAACTCGATTAACTGATGGCTCAAATAAGCGGAATTCACTGTATATTTACTTCTGCGTAAAAGAAGTGCAATATTTATTTAACATAAGATTTGCTCAACAATTTCCAATGTCCTTATTGAACACAAGACCCATAGGAAGGATCTGCTGTTTCGTGTTTCAAAACGCTTTGTTATTAATTAGACTGCGGATTTTTATGCAAAATAACATTTTCTAAAGTATTTTTTTACGACAACATCAAAGATAGGAATTTATTTCTGCTCTTGAATATCTTATTGGGTTCAGAATAAAGTAGAAAACACATTACACGTGACAAAAATTTTGTCTCTTCTGTATTACAGAAAGCCCTACTGGCTATGAATGCATGAAATCCGCATTATTATGTAGATTCGGATATTTTGAAATATATCAGATTCGCGCCATTCACGCTAAGGGAAATTCAAATCAGGGGCCACTTATCGCGGAGACCTCTGGTGGATAGATACTGCTGCCCCCTGGAAGCTCAGTTTTTTAATACAGTCGAACGAGGACAGATAGCGTCACCGATTAGCTGTGCACGTTTAAAAAAAGCAGGGGACAACAATAACGCGGATCCCTGAGTGCGGTGAAAAATCGGTGAAATGGTGGAGTTGTGTCGCGGGTATATTTAGAAGCAGGTGAGCAGATTTATTCAGTAATTAAACGGATCGTTTCGTACGCTGTCCCGTCGGGCCAATCGATGATATGTGTGCAGTGCTTTGGCGTCGAACACATTTCCTCCTGTTTCAGTCCGCGTACGGTTCACGCACGTCTTAATTGGTGGAAAAAACATTTTACCAAATCCACTAGGTGTCTCCCCGCCGGATTCGTAAACGGTTTAAGAATGAACACGTTACGATCGTTCGTCCCGTTATTCGGCCAGCTTTTTTGACGCTTCGTTCACGCAGCAGTTCGTGTTCGTCGCCCGTTACCATGCACCTTTCTGGATCATAACCTCTTCGCACGCTACACATAACATTGTGAGTCGTATTGACGACACATGATCGGCGGCGACAGCGCATACTTGTACGTACTGAGAGACTTTCTGTCATGCCCGTATTTCGTAGTCGACGTAAATTTACGTTTTAGTTTAAGCAAACTGTGTTGGGAATTAGGAGAATCGAAACTATGTATACGATCGGGCAGAAACGTGAAGGACTCACCGAGACTGTCGTGTCGTCTATTGTTTGTCTTTTTAGTTCGTTCAACGGTGTCATTCGCTATATTCAGTTGTCTTTTTTGAGATAAAATTGACAGTATTTCAATATCAATCACGGTCCTGTTGATCGAATACGAAATTGGCTGTTCATTGACATTAGACTTGAACTCTCAGTGTCAATGACGCTCGAGATGATATTTAATACAATTCCACGGGTTACAAGGATCGATACACGAGAGCTCGTGTCAAGATTGGCTTGAACTGTCGCGATCAGAATTCTCGTTTGTTTTCGCGGGAACTCGGAGTATGATTTTATTCGGATAATGCATGACGGATGAAAACATTCTGTGAGTAATCGTTCAAAATAAAATATTCCATTCTGCTACGATTGAAATTCAAACAGAAATTTCGGCCATCTCTGACGGGCCGAAAAACGTGATTTATTTCATTCTTTATACGGAAAAGGAATCCCTTTTCTAGTTTGTAGGATTCAGCAAAATTTGCATCCTGATAAAAGATCCGAAATAACAAATAAGATCTTGTAATGTCATTGAATTGATACAAGGATGCTACTTGTAAGTTAAGACAATATTCGACAATATTCTATCGTTCCCATACGTCATTTATTATTCCAATAAAATTTCGATCATCACTGTTACTAATTTTCATGACCAATTACAATGCTCGTGTAAATTGCAATTAACACAAACCAGAGCAAAAGAAATTAACTTCTCCGATTAATCCACGAATCATTAGGGGACGTATTAACAGCAAGATATAAACATTATAAATCTTGATTATAATTTGCAATAAATCCATAATATTCGTTGTCTAATTGTTACATTCGGTGTAGAAATGATTGTGTTTCGATGTGAATAGAATGTGAAAATCGTGGTGATTCAGTTAGGGACGAAATTAAATCATTGGAAACGATTCTTTTTCCTCTTCGTGGGGAGACATTCGATCCCCACCACCGGGTAGCCAAAATTCCACGGTGGCTTAATACCCCCCGCATCCCCCTCCACCATGATCCTGCCTCTATTGATTGCTCTACCGCACTACTGCCCTACTTTTATGACTTTACTTCACCCCTCCGCCCTCCTAGCGTTCCTCCCCTCCCCACCCTCGCTCGAATACCCCTCGTACCCTGGTGTATCCACGGGGAGTCATAGACACACACCGGGGAGAAGACCGTGGAACTTCTGTTTATCGAAAGACGGCGTCTCGAGCTGCAGCACTATGCGGAAGCGTGCCGATTTTAGCTGTTCCCGGAATCTCTGAAGCACCACGCCTCCGCGTGGTACAATCCTGCATTAATTTCTCCTTCCCTGATGCCGCCATTACGGTGGTATACCCTTTAAATTCTTTCTGAATTGCTCATCGTTATGCGGAGACACGGCATAACATTCGTAGTTGTATCGCGAGTATAGAAATTATGGAGCTGTGGAAGAGAATAAATTTCGAAAAGCATAGGGACGCTAGACGAGGATCATTTAGATCTTTCACGATAGGGGCAATAAGTCTTGTGAGTTTATATTGTACCGTGGGGACATAGAAATTATGGAATTGTCGAACAAAGAGGTCAGAGTTGAAGAACATGTTCGAAGAGATGTTTCGTGATTGGAGAGTAAGATTTCTTACGGTTGTAATTGGTTTGATTCTTGTCGTTTATTACCTTGTGAATATCACAATTTGAAAATTATAGAATCGAGTGTCGGTTGGGGTGGTAGGCCTGGATTCCGTTGGAAAAAGAATCGGAGTTTTCTCAACAGGGATACTAAGGGCGGGATTCATAGTCACTGCTTATTCTTATTTGCCTACGAATAAGTAGTGACTATGAATCCCGGCCTAAGAGAATGTACCCCTGCGAGCAAACTCAGCTTCCGTTAGAGGAGTAAGTGGCGAAGTGGAAGGGCCTCCTACCACTTAGTATTGGGAATTATCGAAATTTTCGCCAAATTAACGTTCGATTTAACATTTATTTCAGTACTTGAATTAAGTTTACCAAGTGGTATGAGGCTCTTTCAGTTACGCCACTTTTTCCCCTAACGGAAGCCGAGTTTGCTCGCGAGGGTACATATATCATTTAATGGATCAGATTTCCGGAGTATCCGAGCTATTATTACATGATCTTTATCCAAAAGTTATAAAACTCCAGACACTCGTTAACAACAACCGTTAACCCCGACAGTCTCTCGAACAGTTTCGATTCCAATTTCAAAATGGTACCGCATGATAAGGGAGGTTAGGTACGCCCTGTCACGTACGAAACTCCCCGAGTTCCAAAAACAAACAAGACACCGTAGCAACCGCTCTAGCGGCCGCTCGTAAATTTTCCCCACCCTTCACCGTCCATAAATCGGCCTGTGTAATATTATGCGGTTGAATATGCCCCCACGTGCGTGTGGCCCGTCGGCAACCGGGGCGAACGCTTTACGTGTGTCACATGTGCATGCACTGTTGCGTGCACAGGATCAAGGCTGCACGTGGTGCAGGTTTATTTTCGAAGAGGCCCTGTGCAACACCGCGCCGTGTCCGGAGGTGCAAGGCTTTTTCTTCTCCCTCTTTCTTTCTTCTTTCTCTCGCACACATTTTTCTCCTGAATTTCTCCCTCTAACTCTCTCTAGACCATCGTCTCGCGTTCAGCCTCGGGATATTTATACCGATTCCCCGCTCTTTTTTCCCGCCTTGTCGAACCGTAAACGTGTCTTCTACGGCGCCCATGATCCGTTTTTAGGTCGAGTGACTGCTAATTAGTCGGCTTATCCAGAGTCGCGAGCTGGACACTCGACTAAAAGCGATTCCTCTTCCGACTAACGTACACCCACGAGCAAACTCGGTTTCCACTAGGGGAAAAAGTAACGTAGGGAAAAGTACTCTTACCATTTGATGTTTGAAATTACTGAAATGTATGCCAAATTAATATTCGATTTAACATTTATTTCAATTAATTTACCAAGTGGTAGAAGACTTTTCTTCTACGCCGCTTTTTCCCCTAGTGGAAGCCAAGTTTGCTCGACACCGTACACTCTCCCCTCTCTTCTTTATCGATGGTCTCACGATTCGACCGGTAATTATCGCCTGGCGGCGTGTCAACACGGCTGGGAGACGTTTTTTTTTTTTTTTTTTTAATTTTAGTTTATCGATCCCACGGGAGATACTTTCGGACTTGGGAATCGTTCGTCGTCCCTCGATGCCGAGGTTCACGGGAATTGTTCTGAGAATCGTCTGACAAGGGAAGGCACGGAAGTGTCCCCCTCTGACTTTGATGAAACTTCGTGTCTGTTAAGCAATCAAAAATAAGGGATACGTATTTTTTTCACGCAAGTGGCCATTAGTTTATGAAATATTTAATGTTCAGTGCTGAGGAGCTTTCAAACACTCATCGAGGATTTACTGTATAAGGCACGGCCAGCCAGATTCTAGTAGGTCATGGGAAATGTTTCGGGTCGTTTGTGTCTCGTTGAATGTTCATTAGCGGACTTCTTTCGACTTTCTTTAGGGGGAGGGGCAATAACGATTTCACAGAGCGTTAGGTCAGCCACGGGTGTCAGCGTTTTGCAGTGATTAAGACCCGCGTAATAGTCGGTCACCCGTTGACCCTGTTAAGTAGCGACGCCCAGGAATTGGTCAGGCACGACTGATGATGAGCGCCTGTAGACTTCATTGACGCGTTTCGTCGTTGTGGGGCTTCCTCTTACCATCCGCTGACAATTTACCTATTCACACGCATAGGACTTAACCGATTATATCTTTCATCACTTCATCGGGATCTCAAGGTATCTGATGCTCTAATATTTCATGACTAGACGGTGGACTTTTAGTACATAAAGAATCAGAATTATCAATTTGTACAGTATTACCCGTTTTTTAATATCGTCAGCAGTTTCGGAGATATTCGAGTGGGTCGATTTAAATAGGACACCCTGTATAGGCTACAACTTGAACATTAAATAAAATTTAAATAAATAAACAAACAAATTTCCGACAATTTCATTGCACACTTTTATAGAACATAAGAATCTATTAAATTTTCATCGTAACAATTTTTATATATCTACCATACTCTTCGAGATATACAAGAAAATAGGAAAGGACACAGTAACATTTAGGGGTGGTTTCACCCCGAAGAACCGAATATCAGCAAAAACGAAAAATTGCCAGATACTTCTATCGAGATCCCCTACAATCCTGCAGATCTTCAGAAAAATCAGAATATTCGGGGTATCAAATTTCCCTTGTTGACAACATATTGTTACCTACCCAAAAGAATTAATATCGTTTTACACGCGATCACGCGTCACGTAGAGAGGATCGATTAGCCCAGGATTCGTTGAATGGCGAAGGCATTCGACGAATCCCGCGTGAGTCATCTCGTTTTTACTCGCCTCGACGATGACCTTGGTGGATAAAGACTCGTGGGCTCTGCGACGCGGGGTACTACCTGGCCGTGGTAGCCGCGGCTTTCATCGACGCTTT